TACTTTCTCTTAATTCATTGAGAATAAAAGTTTGTATTAACATTGTTTAGACATCATGTCTGCATCTTGTCCTTTGAATAACCACTATGAAGTCAACAATATGCAATGTATTAATTATTGTAACTGTCCTACTAACCTGTTTTGAAACTGTTTCATTGCTATTTTATCTTTTTACTCATTAAAATAAAAAATAAAAAATAGAAAAACAAATATTGTCAAATTCATATTATTTTGTTTAGCAAAATATTGTATCTTTTGTAATTTTTTCTGTTTTAATACTATTTTGTACACTCTTAAAAAAATAAAAAGTTTTAAAAGAAGAAATGTTTCCTGATGAGTTGTTTTACATAGTATTTTTATGTAAAAATTTTTTCTATGTTAGTCTTCTAATACTATTTCATGTATTAATAATTTTAATTTTCTTTACCTTATTTCTTTTGACATGGGTGATCACCACAGTTTGCTTTGTGCTTGCCACCTCAAAAACTTCTTGAACTCTAAACTCACCTCATCTGTGTAGTATGCTCCCTGCAAGACTATTGAAATCTGAGTTATTTATTAAAATAAATAGGAATAAACCAGAAACCTGGATGTGTCAGTGTTATTCTTTTTAATCATCTAGTTAACTGTTAAATATTTTACACACAGAGCATTACCTTACAGCCATCTGCCAGAGCAAATCCTCCACCAACAAGAATGGCTATATCCCATGGCATGAATGACTGGAACTCTTTCCAAGTAATCAGTGGAGAATAATCAAAAGCAACTGTGAAACAAAAGTCCTACAGTTAAATATTGATTAAAATATGACAATACAACATGCTACTTTAAAAAAAAAATAGGACTCTAGTTATCTCAAGGAAAACCAATAATATTTCTACTAACTTTTTTTTTTTTTTGTATTTAGTGCAGGGTCTACAAGGTCTCACTATACAGATCAGACTAGTAGTGATTCTCCTGTTTTCAGCCTCCCAACTGCTGGGATTACAGATGTGCTCCACTACGCCCAGTCTCAATCACTTTTTCAGTATGCCCTGGGGGCGGGACTGGGGCAGGACGCAAGCTGGACCAGCACAGCGTGCTGGGGATCAAATCCTGGACACTGCGCTCTGCCTGAGCAGGCACTTTAGTCCCCTGAGCTATCTGGCCAGCCCATTTCTACATTGTTTTTAAAGAGGAGATTTGATCTGGAGTTTGGGCAATTTCCACATAGCCTAAGTGAAACATTATATTATAAAAAACCAAAAAAGTGTAATTTGGAAATATTTTGAAATTTATTTTACGTAAGTCATAACAATGTCATTTATGGTGCAATTCATTTATTGATTACACTACACTTACTTGAGTAGCATAATGCATGAAAATGCACATTTCCTTATTAAGTAAAATGTGCATAACGTGACACAGATTCCAGTAGCATCAGCACAAGATTTTTTAAGTCATAACAGTATTATCAAGGTTCTAGTTTAAAGTTCAGATTAAAAGATTAAATAATGTGCATGAAGGAGTTATGATCTTGCTACTGATTTGTTGATCAGTAAATTCTTTTATGAGCACAATATCCCCACTTAACATTTATAACATCCGTGCAGTGAGATTATATTATTAATACATTTACTTCCTATCCCCTCCCAAATCAAAACTTACCCCCAAATACTCTCAAAACTGCTTTCACAAATGACTAACATCTCACTACAATGTTTCTTAACTAGGTTAAAACTATGTATCCTGTCAGAATGCAAGCATATCTGAAATGTACCTCTTAGCGAGAATTTAACATATTATGCCATATTTGTCACTTTTAAAAAAAATGTGAAGGAGCTTATCAGAGAGGAAAGCATTAAAGAATGAGGGTAGAAAGGTGGGCAGCACTAAGGATTTTTCTGCAGGAGGGAGTTTCAGATGGATCCATTAGAAGCTGAATCCAATCACTGGTTCCTCTACATGGTTTTGCTTCCAATAATTAGAGTTTTCAGGGTCTCACAGAAATCAGTGCTAAATATCGCAACATTTCCTTAACACACAATGAGACCTTCCAATCTCAAATGAAGAACAAAGGGCATTTATTTTTACATGATGCTGTTCATATATATCATGCCCTGAAGGTCTCAGTTGATGATGGACTGTGATTCAGAGAACCAGGTGAGGTAACTCAACTGTACGAGCCCTATTCCTGTCACAATGAAACTAGACAAATCAAAACATATTCACAACTCTATCCTCACCAGTCTATTTCCAAACTACTATAAATCTTTTGTCCTGCATTGACAACTGGGAATCTGACTATTGACAACACAGCAGGTTGGTGTAAGCATAGACATGCCTGGAGCTGATGATTAAGTGTGTGTGTGGGAGTGTACATTCATGCAAATCTGCCCAACTGATTGTCCACATTTTGTAAATACAAGGCGTGCTCCCACTAGACACTGTTTTTTGATCATGGCCCTAGGTTATAGATGTGTAGGATTGAGGTTTGCTTTTCTCCAAGACTACTATGAAACTGTAAATGCTCTTTCTGATGAATCATCAACATTTTTATATCTTCAGCATTTACTACAAGGGCTCATCATGAAATAGTGATTTCTCAGTTCTTGTTTCTATGTTTTCCAATAGTAAGATTAAGGCTAATGATGGCAGTAGGAATGGGTTCATCATGGGTCAAATAGTCTTATTGTAGTGGATCCTTAGAAATCTCACTCCTGCAAAGTTAGATGACCCCTCTCATAGGTGGATGATATTTGCTGACCAACTAAGAGGTACAGCATGCAAGTATGGCCTGCTAAGCCAGAAGCTATGTCAGCAAGACTATACCTTCCAAGGGCTGGCCAAATATCTAAGTGGAGTAAAGTGCCTGCAAGCAGGCGCAGGCCCAGGCACAGGGGCTAGAGGTTTCAATCTCCGGGCCTGCCTTGCAGGCCCCATCCTTGGGACATGCTGAGACAGCAATTGAGACTGGCCCTGGTGGCGTGTGTCTGTAATCCCAGCTCTTGGGAGACTGTAAACAGGCAGATCACTACAAGTTCAACCTAGTAGTGAGACCCTGAACACCCTGTAGACCCTTCCCTAAAATTAAATAAATAATAAATAAAAAACTATTCTTTCTAAGTGACAATGGAAAGCAATTAAATTTTACATTTGTTGGCTTTTATATCAAATTCAATCAGTTATAAGTGATACTTAACCGATTTCTCCTGTAGATGTAGTTTTTGTCATTATCTTTGCTGGGATCAGGAAGAAAAGTAGTCCTATAATTAATGCAACAGTTGAATCTGTTACAAAACCAGAGTACCTGAAAAACAAATGTATATTTTTTGAATGGGATTAAGAATTTACATGTCCTAAAATAGTAATAACATTTAAGTGATTTCATGGATTATGAAACATTAAATGCATTTATTTCTTTTGTATGATATGCATGTAAATAGTAAAATTGATTTCCAAATAAATGACATAATTTAATTAGAACTGATTGTGCAGACCATATTTCCATTATTTTCATATATTTCTTATTATTTCCAATATCACATGTAAAGACATTAACCTAGTAGACCAACAAGGCAAATTTTCCCTTTTAGGTAAACTTCCAGATTTGTTAGCCAATTTCTGCTTTGAATTCTTTCTTTTAACTCTATTGGAAAGAATTGAGTTTGAAACAATTTCTATACCAGGTAAAATAATTGATTTATATCATTTTATTGATTTGTGGCAAAGCCTGTTGTTGCTAGAGTTTTCTTAAATTATTTATAAATTGCAAAAAATGAAGAAAAGAAATTGATTTGTTTTCTAGAATTTAACACCTCCTTAAGCATATCATACAAATGAAATCAACCCATTTAATGTTTTGCCCGCTCTGAAACTCAATCCAGTATTAATTAATGGAATGGTTTATGAGATGTTCATAGATGATCACTGTACAAATGAGGAGTGATTCAGGGCCAGATGGGTCTTAGAATCACCAGGCCATTCCAACAAATAAGAAGGTTCCCAGAAACATCCACAGTTAGGAAGCATCTGGAGACGCGATGTAAATGAAACAGGCATAAATAATGAGATTATAGTTTTAGAAGTCAGTAATATTAACTAAGTACATTTTCATCACCTCTGTAAAGATAACTCTTCCCTCTTGAAACCAGTAAAGTTTACATGCTGTGGAAGCTGCTTACCTCTCATAATCTACCTGGAAAACCTAAAGAAAATTAATTGTCTTTCTCAATGTAACAAATTTTAAAGAAGCTATTTTCCTTAAATATAGATTTACTTTCTCTTTATTGACTAAGAATCAATCATGGCATAATTTATTCCGTAAACTTGACAAATACGTATCAGTGTGACTTATATTTTAGCCATAATTTTTGGAATTTTTGCCAAATTAGGTCAGGAAACATGTAACTGGATATTGTTTTATATGAAAAGACATATTGAACTCAGTCCAGGTTCAAACAGATGGAATCAAAACATTAGGTGGTAGATATAAATCTTAATATATCACACTAACTTTAAAAATTTTGAAATCCTGAAACATCTACATAACACCGAATACATTTATTAAATAAAATTAAGGTATAAATATTGAATAATTTCTTTTCAGAGCACCTAAAAAAGTATTAGTTTTTTGGGGGGCATGTTTGTAGCTTGTACTAGTATATTCATCATAAAGAGTTGGCACACATACATGACATATTGACTCTTTTTCTACCCTCCTCTCCTTCCTCCATCCCTCCAACTCTCAGTAAATAATGAATTAAGTGATGCCAGTTTTATAAAATACTTAACTTACACAAATTTTGTTTGCTTTGGGTTTGTCATTAAATTTCTATTTCAAATTCCATCCTTAAATCCTTGTTACTTTTCCTATTGTTTCCTATCAGTTTGCTAGGTGACATAAGGACCTGCCCATAGCAAATACACTAGTTTCCTGCTACAAACAAAACAGCTCCTTAATTACATTATACTTCCATAAAGAAAAAAAAAATAGTCAAATACATTAAATATCCTCTTGGGGTTTTTTTTTGTGTGGTTTTACTAGCTTTTGTTTGATTTCATTTAACTTTGACCCACTAGTGTTTAGAGAGAGATTTTCCCACCTAGAATGGTAGGATTTCTATTTTTAAAGTGAGACTTACCTTTCTACATTGCTCTAGATACTATTATAAAATCATAAAGGGCTAATTAACTATTAAACAATAACTTGCCTTAAAAAGTAGATGGCATTTTTTTTTTTACTTAGATGTCTCAAAATGAAAAATTTTACTCCAAAGGGAAATAAAAATGATTTTAAAGTGGAAGCAAATCCTCTAAAACCACATTGTATTGTTAGACTTGTTGGTCACTGGGAATCTGGATTCAGGTTTTGCACATTTGAAAAATATTGGCAAGGCTGGTAAACCCAGAAGGCTGTGATTCTGGGAGGGAAGAGTTTCCTTGTTCACTTAGCCAAAATACATCTGATTCAAACAATTTTAGTTTTTTCCCCTGTGAATTTTTACTGGGGAATATTAAACAGGAAATCCAAGCCACATATCTGCTACTTTTAGTACTTAGAGTATTTTACTAAAAGATAAATGGCAAATAGAAATGTCAAAACCAAAGTACTTATTTTGACATGTAAGATGGCTCTTAACTTAGAAAATGTTGCTATAGTCTTTCCCTGGCTTCACAATATAAGACACTAAGAGGTAGAAATACTTCTGATGGACTTCTGCCTTTAGTTTTAAAAGTCAGTCTTTTTACTTATTCAGGAATTCCTTAGGAATGTAGGTCAAATTTGTAGCAAATTAGCACAAAAATATTTTGAAAGACAAGATATTGAGCCCAATAAATAGTTTTCCATAGAAGTAACAACAAAGCCTTAAATTGGTAAAAAGCAAAGAGCATAAATTTATGTATGATTATTAAGAAGCATTGAGTGAAACTTATTTCACACAATAAACATTTATATAAAAAAGGAGAAATGAGACTCTTGCAAACTTTCAAACTTTTGGAACAGCTGAGGAGAGAAGCAGACTATAAATTAAGGCGGTCTGACAAACATATCACATAATACTTACTTTGCAAAAAGTACAGACCAACCAGTAACAAATCCTGGATCCCGGCTGAACCATAGCAAGGCCATTGCAATGAAGAGGATCAAGGTCATAATTTCTTGATACCTGTAGAGAAATTCTTATGCTGTCATTTATGTCTTACAGGGTTTCTGTGGAAGTCTATGACCTATAAGCAAGAGTAATCTCAGAAGAGTGCCAGACATGGTAAGAACTGGATGTGTCAATAATTTGAAAACATCAGTACAGGTGGAAAAGGCCCTTCCTCCTTTCTCGGGACTTGCAGTGTCTTGACATTTTACCTGGCCAATTTTAGTAAGGTGGTGCTAGATAACTTGTCAAGTTGAATTATATTCAAAAAGTTTAGCCAATTTGGAGGCCTGATTAAATGTTATAAATATCTTGAAGACAGTTACATGCTTATGTGCTACTAAGAAACTACCTGAAGCCTGTACAGTATCTGTGGAGTGTGTGTGTGTGTGTGTGTGTGTGTGTGTGTGTGTGTGTGTGTGTGTAAAGCTTACCTCATTGGCCCAAGTTTTTCGTATTCTTGTTTAATCACTGCAGCGCAAGCTTTTTCTTTAGCTGTTCTGGTTTTGCCACAATTGAACATCTCCTTAAAACTGAAAACATTTATATTTGTTAAAGGAGTCTTCCACCACTATGCCCTTTGATGATAGATACATGGTAAAAACTTCATAAAATATGAATCTTCCTGCTAATAACCACATGTCACTCTGTTCTGCCCATACATCTCCTTGCTTCTTTGAGTGTTCTCTGACCTCCCTACTATTTTGCCTGCTTTGGTCACTTTTCAGTGCTTAATACTTGGTATATTTTCCATGACATCTGCTGTTTGATTCCAAATACTTTTGCAACACTGGAATTTGTCATGTGCCATTCATCTCTGTTTAACACTTTATTATATATCATTACATTGTATTTTAAAATATATTTATTATGCAACTTAGTTACTAATTGTCCTACATAAATAAGTTTTTCTTTTATATGTTTTACAGTGACAATACCATGGAAGTTTTCTTTGGCCTGTGGTCTCTTAATGCCAGTATACACAATACACAATCAATTTGCCAACTCAGTAGTGCCTCTGGAAAATTTATCAGACAGTTCCTGTCAGATTCATTACATTTCATAAAGGTGTTTAACTGGAGCTATACACTAGGGCAGGGAAGTTGCATATACTATTATAGTGGACAGAGTCCAAATGACTTATTTTCTCTAAAATCAGCCTTATTATGTGATGCTTTCCTCTAAGTTTCTTCTACCTGATGTAATAATAGCATCCAAAATCTTCTAGCTTATTTCCAATGAAAACTGACACTTACTGCTTATTCTCATGATCCTTTTTCTGCAACTAATATGTCTCTCCTGAAGTCCAGGGTTTTCAAAACCTTAAATGATGTGTGTGTGTGTGTGTGTGTGTGTGTGTGTGTTGCTGTTCTAGATATAAATTAAAAAGAAAAACCCTCTAAAGGCAGGAAAAAATGAAATTTCTAAGTTCTTAGAGGTTATCTTTTGGAATAGAGCAGTTCAGTTTACACTCTGTGTAGATGTAGAAAGTGGGGGCATTTTGTCTTGTAAAATTTCAGGGGTCAACTACATGCTTAGAAGAAGAGAGTGAGAAGGTAGATTGGGACAGTGAGAAGGTAGTTACCTCAGAAAGTCTCATGTTGTGCTTTGATTATTTGTTTTGTATTTATTTATTTTACTTTGTTTGATTTTATTGCTTCATATAATTCAGCTAGACAACCTTGTTTAGGATGAGATTTCCTTTGAAGGTGTCCATCTCCTTACTTCATAAGTCATCTATCTGATGTATTCATAATACCTCATGTATGTGCCTCAAGACTCATTAGATATTGTTCAATTTATGATCAATGAGGGCATAATTACATTTTAGAATCTCAATTAAATTCCTAATGGGTAATTATTCCCAGCCAAAACTTTTGTCCTCTGACAAAACATAAATGCTGTTATAAGAAACTAACCTATGGGCTACCTCGAGAGCTATGAATAGGAAAAGTATAGCTGAAGAGAAAGGTAAAACTCTTTTTCTAATGAAAATGATCTATAAGTATTTTGCCACTTTGGCTGCTGACAATAAGCAGCTCAGTCAAATCCCAGTTGGCTTTGCTACACAGGAAGGTCAACGCCATCTCAAAGAAATGAGGACGCGTATGACAATGCGCTAACCTCTCCATTTCAATCCCTTTGCAGGCACTGACAGATGAGCTTCTCTTCTGAAGTATGTTGGAGTCATTTATAATGGGCAAGCTGACTGTGCTAGCAGCCAACACGCTAATCAGAATGCATGGCATCCAGCTAAGGGAGTAGCTGATAATTTCTAGTTGTCTACCTTAAACCTCGGAGGTGAACACCCTGGCAGAGTGAAAAGGACACTGAAAAATTAGCTGCAGCCTGAAGCTGTTCAGTGCCTAACCAACAGTGGACAGCAAGGGGACTGTTGAAACATGCCACTGATCATGACTTACGTATTTCACATCATGTGCATGTGCTTCACGGGATTTTTCCCTCCTGCAGAACATATTTTAATACATCTGTCCTTTATCTTATTTTTCCCTTCTAAGTGGTAGGCTGTTTTAAAATAAGAACAACCAGTGCATGTGTATTTGATAAAGTCAGTACACGTAGCAACAAAGAACAGAAAACCGTGTGCCTGTGGCTGGAAATTTTCTCAGCTGACTTGGGATTCTATTCTCTGTAGCTGGCATTTCTACCTGTGCCATTGAATAGGCCCCCAAAGGCTCAGATTTCCTGGGAGGAGCTCTTCTCGTGCAGCTGGCCTCTTCCCACTGATGCCCACCTGCTGAAGGCAGTGACATTCCACACATTTGCTCCGGCAGGAGAACTGCCACATGCTGATCCTACAATCTGTATAGATTTTTAAAAAATCATCAACACCATCTTCCCTCTACTAACACAATTGGACAGTTCTGGAGAAAGATCAGGAAGGAGAGTCAAGAGGGGGAGGGTCAGTCCTTATGCTTCAAAGGTTGGAAAATGCAGCACTGGCAGGGAATTGCATACAGCCATACTGTTTTCCTTTTCAAAAGAAGTACAAAGGACTGACTTTGGCCTGGCTTGGTGAATAGTATACTGTTTTACTCATGGTTCCTTGAAATTATTGAAATACAACTATCTACAAATGAATTTGAATTATTTTATTTTTCACGAAAAAATCTTCAATATTTGCCACAGAATTATTTTGCCTCTTTTGAGTATTATTCAATGTACTGATTGGAATATTATTAAGTGAACTGAAAAAATTCAGACCTCATTTTAGACTTTGCTGTGGAGCTCTTCATAACATTCACTGCTGGATTGTCACCTAAGTCACAGAGCACATTGGTGCTTCTGAGTCACCAGCTAAAATCCTAGTCAAAGTTATTTGAAATCCCTTTGAATACATGTTGGACATTTGGGTTGCATTAGCAGGACTTCATTCATCTTGTTTCTTACCTTGGCTTCTTCCACGTGTTCACACTGGGATCCATGTGTGTTGGAAGGGACCTGACTGATCTTGTGGGAAAGTGCTATTGTTTTTACAGTGGAGGACACCACATGTAACAATAGGTCAGGACTTGCAAAGATTACGCATCCTTGCCATGAGAAGCCCCAGTCATATTCCTGTTGTTCTCATACCTAATTCAATGTTCTTTCTACAGAGAACAGCCTCGGGTCTTTATTTTATCTTTTATTACAGAGGTGGTATCATTATTTTGGTGCTAGGACAAAACAGGAAGACTTGCAGGTTATATGTGAGAGTAACTCAAGAACTCAAGAAAATCCCCATATTCTGTCAAGTAAAGGGGTCAACTTATAAAACCTTTACTCTCATAAACTGGACTTAGCACTCATCATAAAGAGTTCCTTATTCCTCTCTGTTATTTTATGTCTTATTGGCTTAATAGTCAAAGAACACTTGGATAGGCTTTCCTTTTAAATGCTGTCTTCCATGGCCAACCTAGTTTAATGAAGATTCTAGTTTAGCTTAAATGTGTTCTTATGTGTTTATCTGGTGGGAAAAAAAATAACCTAATCAAGCACATGTGATGTAAGGAAAAAAGCACTGGATACAGAGTTAAAAACTTGGAATTTAGAGACTTTCACTGATCTTAAAAACATGAATATGTTTACTTACTTGAATCCTAGAAAAAGCCACTGAAGCCAGATCCAGGACAACAGTAGAATAATAATCGCAGCTGGGAAGGAAAATAAAAACCACGATCCAAAGTTGAGGCACTGACAGTCAGGGTAGCGTCTGTGTGAAAGCAAGAGAGGATTTTAGGTGGAAGAACAAGTAGAATTCTTTCCAGCAGCCATGTGCATTGGTCACTGTCATCTCTACTGCTCTTCAGCCAGGAAGAAAGTCCTGGGATAGTGGAAGAGTTTACTTCTTGCCTAGCTTCTGTAACTGTGTATATTATTTCTGTATCCCACAAAAGCAAGAGTGGGTATGCCTTAATTTTATCCCCTTTGTTCAATCTCTAAGAAAATGCTTGGACAAAACCTTAATGAAGATTTATTTAATGAAATACATAAAAAATGGGTGTATGTAGCATGGGGAATTGTTAGGACCACACAAGAAGACAGCTACCTCATTATGTTGCACACGCATAGAATTTACAAAAGTGAACAGTAGAAAAGTGGTTCCCACAGGCTGGCATCAGTGTCTGGGAAGAGAGGCAGAGAAAGGCTGATCAATGGGCACTAAGCTACCGCTGGATAGGAGAAATCAATTATGCTGTCCCATTTTACAGTAGGATCGATACAGATAATGATAATCTGCTGTCTACTTGGAAAAAGCTAGAAAAAAGATTTTGAATACTTCCCAACAGAGAAATGATAGTGAAGAGATACAGATGTTTAGCTTGACTTCAACATATATGGAAGCTTCAGCTGGTACAACCTAAAAATATATGATCTTTTATGTGTCGATGCATTAAAAAACAACTTGGTTGGTGTTAAAATGCCATATATTGAAATGATGAAATCTGCAGGAAGACAGGTCATCAGGAAACAGCTGAGAGCATCGCGAGAGATAAAGAATGCACTGTGGATATAGGAGGAGGTCTTCAGAAGAGTGACAGGGAGAGAGGAAACGGGGAGCAACAGAGAAGAAAATAATCAAAATAGGCAGTATGATTATATCAAGATACCATAAGGAATCACATTTTTCAACACTATTAATATATACCAAAAAGGAAAAAAGGATGCTCCTGTGGCATTCCAAATTGAGGTGTCCTTTAGTGGCAGTGCTGCACAGGCAGCTGGGTAACTGAGATTAGAATTCAGAGAACGTGATAAAGCTGGTAGTTCATGACATCATAAACCATGGAAAGGGGTGCGGTAATACCAGAAATGGAGATGGAGATGAAGAGGGACCGACAGGGTGTTCTGGGATGTGCTAAGTGTTAGAGGTCAAAGAGAGGCATAGGAAGGAGCAGATGACCTAAGTACTTTGATTCAAAGAAAGAGCCTGTGAGAAGGGCATTGTGTTTCCATTTTACACAGGAAGAACCTGTGGGGGGTTAAATGGATTGGTCAAGGTCACAGCATTTGCAGTCAAGCTGTATTTTCAAATTGATGAGGTTTAGTTTTAAACACAACCTGTTTTTATTAAGCTGTGGCATCCTCAACACCAGCTACCAACTGAAATAGAAAATTCCATATATGGTGGTGCAATCATTTCTGTAATTTTTATAAAATATCTCTAGAAACCAAAAGTTGTATTATAGCTTATAGATATTTCAATATATAATATAACCTTTGGTTTCTAGAAATATTTTATAAGAATTACAGAAATAATTGCAATACAGTTTGGAGACATATCTTGACCTAAATCATGTGTGTTTAACTCTTAGCACTTTAGAAAGAAAAAGTTGTCACTGTGGTTCTTATGACCACCCTTTGTGAAAAGATGAATAACTTTAATACCAATGAAACACACAGACATCTCTTCAAGAGAATAGGTGTAGTCATGGAAATTTGCAACACTGAAATAGCTTTTGGTCATTTAGAATCCCAACAAGCAATTGTCTGCGCTGATTACTGTCCATTTGATTAATGGCTGTTTTGATTATTTCTGAGTCAAAGCCACTTTCAGTTTTGGATTTATGTATTTCCTGAACTTTCTGCTCAAAAATGTTGACTACTTGATATTCATGAGCCAGACTTAGATTTCTAAGTGTGATAGTGAAGCTAGGAGCAGCAGCGATACCAGCGTAGAGCACTGCTGAGGGAGAGGCGTGTAGTGGCCTCGCCAGGCCGTGTGCATGCTGGGCGTTTTCTCCTCACGGTAATTAGCTTTAGCACTGCCCTCATCTTACAGATGATGAGCCTGAGGCTTACATAATTTCAGCTAATATAAAACATGCTTAAACTCTGAATTAAGATTGGAGCTCAAACTCTGCAGTGTACACATTTCTTTTATAATAGTTGATAAAGAAATTGTTTCTGAAAATGTGTATTATTTATATATGAAGAGAAAAAGCATAGTAACGTTTGAAGGTGTTATTTTTAGATAATTGGGCTACTTCTCCAATTCGACTTAGTAAAGATGAAAGGGTCAGCAGATGAATGTAGAATTAATAGTAAATATAAGCACATTCATTTTACTGAACTTTGATTTATAACTCATGAGACAGTAGGCCCTTACCTATCCAGTGCCTGCAGTCAGCCATTATCTGAAAATGCTAATAGTTTTTTTATTCTTTATTTTATTAAAGTACATGTTTTACAGTGTAGAATGATGGCATTCATTGTGGGGAGTTTGTACATAACACATTTTAATTGTTTTTCTTCCCACCCATGATTAACCCTCCCTTCATCCCACCCCTCCAACTCATAATCTTTTTCTCATTTAGAAAAACATCTATTTCCAATTTTTATTTGACTCTGTTTTAAAAATCTTTTTCCATTCCTTTCTACCTCCCCTTCATCTCTTGTTCTCCTTCTCGTTTGAAAAAGATCTCCTTACATCCTATCACTTATCCTTTATTTTGCTTTTTATTTATATTTTTAGTTTCTCATATAAGAGAAACCATGTGACATTTAAGCTTGTGCATGTGATTTATTTCAGTCAGTATTATGGTCTCAAATTACACTTATTTACTTCAAGTTTAAATACCTCAAGTTTATCCTGCCTTTTGGCAGAGCAGCATTCCATTATGTATAAATGCCACATTTTCAATATTCATCTTGTTGATGGACATTGATTCTTTCAAGACAAAGATAAACCATATACATACAACATTTATTAAAATATATTATCATTGTCTTATTTAATTTTTTACTTCTATTAATCTTTCATTATACCTCCCCCACCCCCTTTAGAGGCAAGGTTTCCCTATGCAGTTTAGGCTGTCCCTGAACTCACTTTGTAACCCAGGCTGGTCTCAAATTCACAGTGATCCTCCTGCCTCAGCTGCCTGAGTGCTGGGATTACAGGCCAGTGCCACCATTCCTGGCTAATTTATAAATGAAATTTTAAGGCATGTGTGCACAGGTAGAAAATAGTAACTGTGTGGCTGAGTACTAGCTGGGGTAGTAAGCGATGCTGGAGATCTTGGAACACATCTCTGCAGAGAAGCGGGGGGCAGAGCTACTGCAGTTTCGCCACACAATTTGTAACACCAACTGTGCTCATCACAGATAATACATCTTTTCTTCCCCCAAGCTGTTTTCTATATACACAATTTCACTACTGACACCTATAAACTAATACACTGTGATAACTAGCAAGCTATGGAATTTTACTTGTAATAGTCTTCCATTCTCTATAAGTAGATCATATGTGTGCCATTAACTACTAACTATTGTGTTGGTAGATGGTATTGATGTGTCAAAACTTCTCCACTACAAAATAATAATTTTTCCTAATAACATGCTTTTATTCATTTTGATGTAAAAAGATCATTCAAGGGTTCAGATAATTTTCCTAGTCATTATCTCATGTATGTTTCAGCAGTTCATCACCACCAATAGTTATTGATCAACTTCTTCATGATTTGTGAGCTTAAAGGAGAAAGCAGTGATTGATTCATAAGCATGGTGTCACCAATGGTGCCCGTTGTACCTGCGTGTGGCTAAGACAAGTTTTCTGAAGCATAAGTATAGGTTATGATAAGAGGAGATGGGAATGGTGGCTATGAAGAAATTGCAGTGTTTTGGTGGGTGCTGCACACAAATATGGAAAGATGCTGACAGAAGATGCTGGTCTCTCAGGAGTAGGAAGTAGTAGGTTAATTCCAAGGTGGCACTTACTAAAAATAGTGTAAAGGAAGGAGAGGATGAGGTGATGAATAGAAGATTCTACTAGGGGACAAAGAGAGGGTAGAGAGGGCTGAGCAACAAGCAATTTCCTGACAGAATAGCCCATAAAAACAAAGCAAATCTTTAAGGTTGTATCAGAAGATGATGGAAAAGGAAGATTTCCAGAATACCCCATTTTAAGGATTTGACGAGGCTAATGGTGGAGATTGGAGAGTGGAGAATTTAGATAGCATAGGTCCTCCATTCTAAGATTAACTATAGATTATAATAATCATGTACCACATAATTTTAAAAGCCAGAAGGATTTTGAATGTTTTCCCTACAAAGAAATAATAGATTTGAGGAAATACAGCTTACCCTGTGTTGAACATTAAATGATGTATGCACAAATAGGAAACATCACATGAGACTCCACAAATACACAGAATTTATGTCACTTAAAAATGTCTGCAGGAGACATGTCATATTTATTAATGAGACAGGTCACTAGCTTGGATTAGTTACTATTACTCTAAAGGCCCACTTTGCAAGTTATACATGACCTGCTCATGAGGCTGACAGTAAGGGAACAGTTTCGCCCAAATCCTGCCTTGCAGGCTTTCCAGTCATCGATGTACAGCACATACATCTATGTTTTAAAAAGAAAATGTGACAGGACCATGTAGGTACCCTTGAGGTCATTCCTTATTTCTGGCAGGATTTTGCCCATGTTGCACCCTCGCTTGTGGCTGCAGACTTGGGAGGCAGCAAAGCTCAGAATGGCTCAGGCCATCTGCCCGCAATTCCTGGGTCCTTGGAAACCTAGGAGTCCCCACTTACCACGCGGCTGTACACGTGGGTCTATGTTTTTGTCTTTTGTTCTTGTCATCCTACTGCTATCAAGAAGGAGGCTATATCTTTCTTTTCTTTTTTTACAACTAATATTTGTACTCTTGCTTTAAATTCCTCTCTGCTCATCCATGACTCTTTTTTCTGATAAATATATTTCCTTCTCTTCTTTTTTTATCTGAAACTCCATGTGTCTCTCTTTTCACTGTTTCTTTTCCCTGAGGTACAACCAAACTGACATCTCACCCTTGTTATAAAAGAAATGCTCTGCCTCTGGTCAAACACTGTGTGGTTTTTTCTTTTCTTTCCTTGTCAAACTTGTAGGAATCATTTAAACTTGGTGCCCCATAGACTGTATACTCCACCTTTGCCCTGTTCAGTCTGATGGCTGCCCCCCTGCCCAAGCCTCCCCAAATCTACCCCCTTCTAGGACAGCATGGAGAACACAATAGCCCCTTGGCTCTTTCTACCCCAGTGTGCCCCTAACTCATCATCTGTTTTTAAAATGGCTTTTCTTTTGGCTTTCAAAACATATGCTTTTCATTCTCCTGCCTTGCTTAACATCTCTCATCTTCTTCCTTATGACTATTTCTTAAGAGTCTATCCGTGCTGGAGTCTCTTAACATCTTCCCTTAGGTAACCATTTTATGCTTAAGAATTTAGTGTTCACTTTTGTAGACATGCCCTCCTCAGTTTATAACCGACTCATACAACACACTTTCAAAACCTGCTGCAGATGGCCTATGCCTGGGCTGTCAGTCAGCCATGCCCATGTGCCCAGATTCGGTTTCTGGATTTCTCCAGTGAACCTGCACCTTTCCTCACCTTCTCCACAAGTTCATGGTAATACTATCTAGCCATGACATAGACAAATATCCCCAGTGTTACCCTAATGCCTCCTTACTCTAAAATCCTTATTCTTAATCACTAAGAATCATCTGATGATGCAGCATCTCAAGTCTACATCCTCCTGTCTCTTCACAATTAGCTTTGCATCATTTGCCAGCACCTTGGAAATAGACTCCTAGCCGGTTTCCTGTCTCCAGATGGGTAGGTTGCCAGTCCATCTGCCTACTGCTGCTTGAAGCTGGAAAACACATGCGCGACTCCACACCTTTCCTAAACAGCCTGCGGCAGACTTTTAGGACTTTGGTTTTATGAATTATTTGTACTACTTCTCTGTATGGATTTCATTTTGCTTCATGTGACATTGTGTCAAATCATGTGAACACACTTTCTCTAGTGAGCAAGGAAGTCCCTTTCTTTCTCAGCATGCTTTTTCTTAAATTGCTTATTGCAGTACACATGAAAGATGCAGGGGGGCAGGGAGATGGCTCAGTGGAATAAGTGCTTCCCTGGCAAGCACGA